GACATCGTCATCCCGGCACTTGTCACAAGAGCCATCGAGGAAATGCGCAACACCCCAGGACTGCCTGTCCTTGTGGTTGCTGGCTGGAATGCTCGCCAGCAGGACATGCATGTCGAAATGCTGGCAGCCCAGGCTCTGTCACAATGCCGCACTGTCCGTGATCTCTCGGAAGTAGCCATGCAGTACGGACATGGACCCTGGGGTATGCGCTTCATGCATCTCCCAGAATGGGAGGCAGCTCTTCCAGACCTATGTCCACGACGACAAGCCGGAGCCCGCCCAAGTTGCGGCCAAAAGTTTGCAGGCTTCACCCGCAAATTCTGTGACGATGGGATTCTTCGAGCTACCCTGCGGCAACTTGCCGGAAAGTACGGATCCAATCTGCTGGACCGCCTCAGTCAACCTGCTCATAGAGCAGATGTGTTCCGCTACGTTTACCACTGCCAGCACGGAGGCCTCTATGTGGATATTAAATGTGGCTTTGTGGTACCCTGGGAACAGGTACTGCAGCTCATGGCAGCAGATTGGAGCACAGCTCACGCAACGAAGGCAGGTGAAGTGGGTCACAGACTCTCCCCACCTGGCCAACTCCCAAAGGAGTTCATGGTCATGGCCATCGGAGTCAAAGGAGATCACATCTTTCAAGGCATCATCTATGGCAAGCCCAGGCACCCTCTCAGCACGCCTTCAGCCGTCAGGTTATGACAGCGAAGGCGAACCTGGAATATATGATCTTCTGCAAATTTCTCTGGCAGATCTTGAGTCGGGACCTTGGTCATCCCCCTCAGGCAGGCTGGAATGTTTCCGCCAAGTTTGGCCCCATCTATCTGTTCTTGGAGCGCTGGGACAAGCGCGTGAAGAACAAAAAGTATGACAACGACGGCCACTACTTCGTGACAGCCAACAACACTACAGTCGCCTACACCAGGTGCTGGAAGTGGATGAAGGGTTTTCAGGGAGACCCCACCACCAAAGAGCGAACCGATCGCATGCTGCAGAGCCAGCTTCCCGACATCTCCCTGGAAATCCAGTCCGATGATCGACCCGCAGAGCACAGCTCACCTCAGCCACTTAGGTCACAGACCACGGCAACTGCCACATCAGCTCCTCCTCCTCCCACGCAGGAGGACATCGAAACCTATGTGGCAGACAGCATCCAGAACAACTCCTTTGCGGCGCTCATGGCCACAGTCCGCGAGACCCATCATTATAACCAAGATCTTACGGAGCAGGATGTGCTGGAGCTCATCCCTCGCGGTTTGGGACAAATGGAGGTTTCAGGCTCCATGTGGCTGTGCTGCCTACACTGCCGGAAGTATAACCGACAGATCCAGTTCAGCACAGGCCACGGCCTCAAAAACCACTTTGTCACGCAGAAGCATGACCCTGTGTCACAACCTGCGGCGCCAAGCGACATGTCGGCAACCCTAGCACCACTTCCTCCCCCTCCTCCAAAGCTTCCACAGGAGATTCCTCTCCCACCCAGCAGCACCCGGACTAAAGGATCAGACAAAGCGGCCGGTTTTGAGCCGCCGCCTTCTCCCCCCTGCCCTTTCACTTCCACGGCGGCCGAGAAGGCGGCTTTCAAGGCAAGCCAGGTGGAGACACCGCTGCCGGCTAAGGCCCCACCGTCCACGGTGCCCACTGCACCTGCTTTTCCAGCGGCTATCCCTGTTTCCCGATCCCTCCGCACCCCCCAAGTCTGCCTCTCCCCCTACCCCTGCCACCCAGGCCGCGCTCCCACACGCCCCCTCCTCCTTCCTCCCGTCCCCCGTCAGCATATGAGCCCCCGGAAACCAATGCGGCACCAGTTGGTTATGTTCCACAGCCGGCTCCACAACAGACAGTACGATACACGAGGCAGGAGCTGGCTCAACTGCTGAGCTCCCAGTCCGACCAGGACTGGATTCGGGCATTGGCTTCAATCAATATCCGGGTGGCTCCAGTCATTCTCGGAGGCCTCACCAACCACGAGCAGCAGACCCTCTGGTCTACCAGGATGGACGCACTCCGCGAGGTACCTCCGCTGTTTTCTGCCATCAAGTCGGTAAAGACACAATCAGGCCTCACATGGGACATCGCCATGTCGGTGAGGCGGGTCCTCACCAGCGATGGGAAGGTAACCATAGCCACAGGTTCGGGAGGAGCCTATCGCGAGTTGGATGCTCCCACAAAGGTGCATGGCCTTATCCATGCCTGCTTCAACAAGATGTGGGACGAGAAGGACTTCCGGCACCACTTCCCATCGTGGGTCGAGTTCAACATGATCGCCACTACCATCGTGGCGGTCTACAATGAAACAGCCAAATCAGCAGGACTCCCAGCTCGCGTCTTCAGGGTCAAACCCAACAAAGATGCCTACTCCATCATGAAGATGCGGATTCAGCATGACAAGGGGCACGAGGAAGACAAGCGCATGGCCAAACTGGCTGCTGCTGCTGCGCCTAACAAGCGCCCACAGATGCAAGAGGCTGACACAGAGGGCAAGCGTCCGCGCGACGCCCCTTCTTCTTCCTCCTCGACCCAGTGGGCCAGGCAGGCACGCTCCTCCCAGGAGGACGACTGGGATTGGTGGCAGCAGTGGTCCTGGCACAGTTACTCCCACTCCTCCCAGCAGTGGCCAAAAGGTCACGACCAGTGAGGATAGAGATATGTCACAGACTTTCTGATCCCTTATGTCAATTCGGAACTCTTCCGACGCTTAGCAAATCTCTTCGGAAGCCTGTGAACCGCGAGCTAGCTTTGCTTACAAACAGCACACCACTGCATCAGAGAGTTGCCCACGTCAAAGTTGCCAACTGCCTCACTCCATCGGCGATGCATGCAGGTACATGCGGTCATGAGCACATGACCCTTACGGCCTTCTGTCTTCAACATGAGTAATCCGTGTGGGACGCCACGAGACGGATACTCCAGGTGTCGGCTTCGTCTGAGGTACGGCCTAATTGTTGTGACAGGTGCACAGATGGACGCGTCTGTTCACACCAAGGTGTCGGAGGAGGAAGCTTTTGTAGCTGTAGTTTTCAGTAGTTTGAGCTGATTAGAGAGGTATGAGCGATGCATGCTAGAAGCAGTTTCACGAGTGCACGAGACCAAAGGCGCCCGCAAAGCGCAGAGCACGCTCGCGCAGCGTTCAATTGAAAAATAGTAGTAGTAGTCGTCGTAGTAGTAGTCGTCGTAGTCGTAGTAGTAGTAGCAGCAGCAGCAGAGTAGTAGCCGTAGTAGTCGTCGTCGTAGCAGTAGTACTAGTAGTAGTATGTAGCAGTGGCAGCGGCAGCGGCAGCGGCAGCGGCAATGGCAGTGGCAGTAGCAGTAGCAGTAGCAGTAGCAGTAGCAGTAGCAGTAGCAGTAGTAGTAGTAGTAGTAGTAGTAGTAGTAGTAGTAGTAGTAGTAGCAGTAGTAGCAGTAGAGGCAGTAGCAGTAGTAGGTTGTTGTTGCTGTTGTTGTTGTTGTGCTTAGCATGACTGGGAGGTGCACGCGCGCGCGTTCAAATAGACCCTATTATTCCGTGCCACGGGGCGGGGGGTTGGGATCTTAAATGTCATCCTCGATCCCTACCCCTAAACCCTCAATCCTCAATCCTCAACCCTAAACCCTAAACCCTAAAACCCTAAATCCTAAACTCTAAACCCTAAACCCTAAACCCTAAAGTCTAGCCTGGGAAGCTTTAAGCCTGTCTTAGGATCGGGGATTTGAGGCCCCTACTTGGATCTTGGGACTTAGCAAGTAAGATGATAAGAGATAAAAAATGTTTAGTAAGTAAGATGATAAGAGCTACATGTAGTTTTATAGTTGCAGTTCCCTTGAATATAGCCAGTTACTAAGTCCCATAATCCGCCAAGTAAACCCAAACCGGAAGCCCTACCCACCCTAAGCCGCAACCCCCTAAGCCGTAAAGCCCGACACCCTGAACACTCGTAGAATGATATGAGTACGTAACAGTACAAACTCTCACATGTTTTCGGACTCAGGGCTTTCGGTTTCAGGGCCAGGGGTCGAAATTTACGTGTAAGATCCTGAACCCGAACTTCTAAGACTTAAACCCTGAGCCCTGGACACCCTCGGTCTAACCTTAAACTCCCAAGCCCCTCAACCCTCAACCCTACCTTAACCCCAAAGAGCCTACCTGTTTCAGGACCTATATAGGGAATTCATAATAAGAAGGCCGAAAAGGGTAGGTTTTCCAGGGTCCAGGAAAACAAGCCCTAGAATTTACCCTGAGGTTTGCACCCCACACGAGGAAGCTCGATAGGGCTTCTAGCTGAGGGAATGGGATTCTTGCAGGGGTGTTGGGGCTTACCGGAAAGCCCAAATAACCTACCTTTCTAGGACTCCTCACTATGATTTATTAGATATGTGCTTCAAAGGAAGCGTTTCTAGGGTCCAGGTAGGGTGTTACGGAATTTGCGTTGCATTTTGCTGTATACGAATTTGGTGCCTGTGCGAGAGTTCGGCTTTTATGGAACCTTCAGTTTGCGACATACGCACTTAGCGTTTATGCAACAGTTAGCATGTATGATATTGAGCTTTTCTGTAATGTGCTATGTGCGGGTCTTACCGTTGATGCAGGAGTTAGGTTGCTATGGACCTTTGTGTAGTTTGTTATAGAAAGGTTTCGTGTTTAAAGGAGGGCTGGGATGACATGTCTTGTAGTTTGTTCTATACACATTTAGTGTTTATACAAAATGTGTATAGGCGAGACTTTGGTGCGGCTCCATGGGATGTATTCCTTGATCTCTGATGGAAGAGGGATGGTAACTTTAGTTTTGTTTTTTCCGTTGTTCAGGGTTTGCCCGTCACAGGATCTACAAAGTTGCCCAACCAGTTTGTGGTCCCGACATGTAACATCTCGGTGCTTCGTGGCGGTCCCAAGCAGACTTTAGGGTTGAATTGCCCATGTAGCAGAACTTTGGTTTAGAGGTTTAGCGTCGCTAAGCCCTAAACCCTAAACCCTAAACCCTGGTGCAGCTGCCACAAATTGAAGACACCCCCATGCCCAGGAGCATGTGCTACTTTCTGAACCTTGGCCTAGCTTTCAAGGCTGCGCCCCTGCAATTTGGGTTTAGGGCGTAAGATTCAGGGTTTAAGGCTTAGAGTTTAGCACCGAAAGGTCCATATATACTATTACTATGGATTTAGGATGGTCTTTGGGGCCTAATTTCCGTAATCGTAGCACATAGAAACCCTCTGGGGAAGCAGGCAGAAGAGTTTCAGCATTAGGACACGTTGGTTTGTGAAGGTATCACCCATTCTGGTGTTTTAGGATGCTCGCAGAATTCAGGGTTTCAGATGACGGGGCGCCCTAAATTCCTAAACCCTAACCCTAAAACCCTAAACCCTCTTCGTGGCACCAACCTAAGTAAACATGTCACCCGAGATCCTCTCCTTTAGCGGCCAAGTACCAAATAGTCATACACACATATACCCTTACCCTAAGGGTCCATGTGCCCAAATAGCATATACTTTGGCCTTCAAGTGTTCCCGCAAAGTATATGTATACTTGTTGGGCACATGGACCCTTAGGGTTAGATCATGTTAGGGGGTCATACTGTAATTTCGGGTATATTCCGAAGTTCAGGGATATTGGAAGGTCTGTGAAACAGTCATACACAACCCGAGATGTAGCACAGGGCAAATTTCTCAAAGTACCCACAGCCTGCCCGACCGAATTAAACTCATCATTGCTTATGTGATCTACAGGTTGTGAGGGTTTCTATGAGAGCTTTTGGTATGGGGTTTATCATAGGATTCAACCCTAAGAAAGCCGAATAACCTATCCAGGAGATTCTTTGGTTATGGGCATTATAGTATAGTTTTAATATGGATTGAGGGTTTAGGGTTCATCCAGAAAACTAGGACCTGGAGTAGGCCCTTATTCCCTTTTTTAAGGGTTCAGGTTCCCTTATAAGCCCCTTTAAACCAAAAAGGGCACCCTTTTTATTCCTAGGATACTCTTGGGTCTAGAAAATAGCATGTCCGTTATGGCTTCTGGGGATTTAGTCTTACTGAATGTACTTCTCGGTGCCAGCGGCAAAAAGTCGAGCGCCGTCGCCTGGGACTTCCTTAACCCTAAATGTTTAGGGTTTGGGTGGGTTTAGGGTTTGTTAGGGTTTAGGGTTTAGGGTGTGGTAACGTCATGGGTGCTCGCTGGTGTGTGCACACCCAGGCCGCTCGCACTTGTGCGTAGCAGACAGCCAACCCCAAGACCACCCTGAGTTCAAGCATTTTAGGGTTTAGTTCCCGAAAGCATCGCGAAGGGTTCTTCCGTGTGGAACGCCGCAGCTGAGTACATAGATGACAGACATAGAATCAACTTTCTTGACTCCATACTTTACTCTACACTTGATATTTGACTCTACACTTGATACTTACTTACTTACTTGACCTCTATGACTGACTCTCTACACTTGACACTTGACTCTATGATACTTGACTCTACACTTGATACTTGACTCTATGTTATGCTTACGACTTACTTACTTACTTACTTACTTCACTCTACTTACTTACTTACTTGACACTTGACACTGGACTCTTCTACACTTGACACTTGACTCTATGTTATGCTTTCGACTTACTTACTTACTTACTTCACTCTACTTACTTACTTACTTGACACTTGACACTGGACTCTATGTTATGCTATCTCTATACTTACTTATACTTACTTACTTACTTACTTTTACTTACTTACTTACTTGACTCTATGCCTCTATGACTTACTCTCTACATCTCGGTATCTAATTCTCTCTTCTAAAGCCAGGGGTGGCACCGTTGTCGTCCATCGGGAATGCAACCCTTCCCAGGGATTCGCCTCCTCGGGCGTTCAAACGCGAGGTAAAGTTACACATTTTAGGGTTCCCGCGCAACCCTTCCCAGGGATTCGCTGCCTCGGGCGTTCAAACGCGAAGTAAAGTTACACATTTTAGGCGCCCGGGTGAACCTTTCACAGGGATTGGCATGGGCGAGGGCCCAAACGCTAGGTAAAGTTACACATTTTTTAACTTAATGCGGTGCCCGTGCAACCCTTCCCAGGGATTCGCTGCCTCGGGCGTTCAAACGCTAGGTAAAGTTACACATTTTAGGCGCCCGGCGCAACCCTTCACAGGGATTCGCTGCCTCGGGCGTTCAAACGCTAGGTAAAGTGACACATTTTAGGCGCACCGCGCAACCCTTCCCAGGGATTCGCTGCCTCGGGCGTTCAAACGCGAGGTAAAGTTACACATTTTAGGCGCCCGGCGCAACCCTTCACAGGGATTCGCCTCCTCGGGCGTTCAAACGCGAGGTAAAGTTACACATTTTTCGGGCGCCGTGAACCCTTCACAGGGATTCGCCTCCTCGGGTGTTCAAACGCGAGGTAAAGTTACACATTTTGCGGGCGCTGCGCAACCCTTCACAGGGTTTGGGCGCAGCTCAACTGCATTTTGCAACCCTTCACAGGGATTGGCATTTTGCAACCCTTCACAGGGATTGGCGTGGTCGAGTGTTCGAACGCGAGGTAAAGTTGCAATTTCTGATGTGCATTGAGATGAATTAGAGCATAGAGTGAACTACATCGAGTCAAGTGCATGGTACATAGATGACTCCATGACTCGTGACTTGATCTCACTATGACTCTATGACGCTATCTCACTGTAACTCCATGACTTTATGACTCATGACTCATGGACTCCATGACTCTTGACTGTATCTGCATCTCGAGGTCCCGGTCGGGCTATGAGCCACCACGCTACGGGGATCTCGATTAAGCGTTCCCACACATAGAGCATAGAGTGAACTACATCGAGTCAAGTGCATGCTACATAGATGACTCCATGACTCTGTGACTTGATCTCATTATGACTCTATGACGCTATCTCACTGTAACTCTATGACTTTATGACTCATGACTCATGGACTCCATGACTCTTGACTGTATCTGCATACGATCCTACACACTGGATCTATCACATAGCCCCACACTCTTCGCTGATGATGCTTTCGGGCCAATTGTCTTCTAGTTCTAAAGTCTTCTAAGCATCCCAGCGGGGGCTTGGACATCACCGACGGAAGCCGTTACTCTCAGCGGGGGGCCCAGGAAGGATCGAAAGCAGCACAGCATGTGGGCTTCCTGTGAGTCTGCCCCCCTCTCTGGATTAAGCTTTCGGTGAGGCTGTGCGGTTGGATTCTTATGCAAGTTCTGTAAGGCTGTCATGGCAGGTGCCGGAAGATGCAGTGGACTTTGTGTGAAGCTATAATGATGGGAATTGTGCAGAAACAAGCAGCACTGCATGTCGGCTTTCTGCGAGTCTGTTCCTGTTTGGCGTGGGCTTTCTGTGAGGCTGTGTTGGCGGGTTTTCATGTAGGCTTTCTGTGAGGCTGTCCTGGCGGGTGCCGTAAGAACCAATGGGCTTTCTGTGAGGCTGTGCTGGCGCATGCCGGAAGAAGCAATGGACTCTCAGTGCGGCAGGAATTGTGCAGAAACAAGCAGCACTGCATGTGAGCTTTCTGTGAGTTTGTCCCTGTCCGGATTTGGCTTTCTGTGTGTTGGCAGGTTTTCATGTGCGCTTTCTGTGAGTCTGTCCCTGTCTGGATTGGGCTTTCTGCGAGGCTGTGTTGGCGGTTTCTCATGTGGGCTTTCTGTGAGGCTGTCCTGGCAGGTGCCAGAAGAAGCAATGGGCTTTCTGTGAGGCTGTGCTGGCGAATGCCGGAAGAAGCAGTGGGCTTTCTGTGCAGCGGGAACTGTGCAGAAACAAGCAGCACTGCATGACGGCTTTCTGTGAGGCTGTCCCTGTCTGGCGTGGGCTTTCTGTGAGGCTGTGTTGGCGGGTTCTCATGTCGGCTTTCTGTGAGGCTGTCCTGGCGGGTGCCGGATGCAGCAATGAGCTTTCTGGGAGGCTCCAATCCTTGTCCATTTCGGATTCGCACCAAATACTGCAAGTCATGAAGGGTTGGGGGGTCAAACCCTTGTCCATTTGGGGGCCGTTCATGAAGGGTTGGGGGGTCAAACCCTTGTCCATTTGGGAATTGGCCAAAAAGGAGGAACCCAGAGATCGGCCGACAGCCTAATGTAAATGGCACATTTCATAAGCAGAATTTGGTAACAGAAAATCAGCTGTCAGCTTCCTGGAAAGGAACACCCGCCAAGTCATGAAGGGTTGGGGGGGTCCAACCCTTGTCCATTTGGGAGCCGCTCCAATTCGTGAAGGGTTGGGGGGTCAAACCCTTGTCCATTTGCCGTTCATGAAGGATTGGGAGGGTCAAACCCTTGTCCACTTGCCGTTCATGACGGGTTGGGGGGTCAAACCCTTGTCCACTTGCCGTTCATGAAGAGTTGGGGGGTCAAACCCTTGTCCACTTGCCGTTCATGAAGGGTTGGGGGGTCAAACCCTTGTCCATTTGGGGGCCGTTCATGAAGGGTTGGGGGGTCAAACCCTTGTCCATTTGGGAATTGGCCAAAAAGGAGGAACCCAGAGATCGGCCGACAGCCTAATGTAAATGGCACATTTCATAAGCAGAATTTGGTAACAGAAAATCAGCTGTCAGCTTCCTGGAAAGGAACACCCGCCAAGTCATGAAGGGTTGGGGGGGTCCAACCCTTGTCCATTTGGGAGCCGCTCCAATTCGTGAAGGGTTGGGGGGTCAAACCCTTGTCCATTTGGGAGCCGTTCATAAATGGTTGGGGGGTCAAACCCTTGTCCACTTGCCGTTCATGAAGGGTTGGGGGGTCAAACCCTTGTCCACTTGCCGTTCATGAAGGGTTGGGGGGCCAAACCCTTGTCCATTTGCCGTTCAGGGGGGGTCAAACCCTTGTCCACTTGCCGTTCATGAAGGGTTGGGGGGGTCAAACCCTTGTCCATGTGGGAGCCGTTCATGAAGGGTTGGGGGTCAAACCCCTGTCCACTTGCCGTTCATGAAGGGTTGGGGGGTCAAACCCTTGTCCATGTGCCGTTCGTGAAGGGTTGGGGGGTCAAACCCCTGTCCATTTGGGAGCCGTTCCAAGTCGTGAAGGGTTGGGGGGGTCAAACCCTTGTCGAAAGGATGTGTGGGCAAAACCCTCGGGTTTAGGGTTTCTACCTTTACCACTACCGTGGGAAGTGCCCGAGGGGCCGGCATGCATGGTGCCAGTCGCCTAGCTTTACCTAGGCTCCGCGTACGCGTTTTCTGCCGCTCGCGAAGCTCGGGCCGCTTCGGGCTCCGCGGTGGCGGTTGTCGAGCCCTCAGCGAAGACTTTGGGGTTTAGGGTTTAGGGTTTAGGGCCTACACCCCGAAACCCTAAGCCCCCCATCCTACACCCCTCGACCCTTAAACGTATGTGGGCCGTTGCAGGCAACAGCAGCTGTCTGGCTTGTGGCCATCATCTCCCTCGCTACCTTTAAGGCAAGTCTTTGTCAGAAATAACATCAAAGGGTTGAGAGTTTAGAGTGTAGGGTTTTCTTAGGGGTTTGGATTAGTTTGGGGTTTAGGTTGTAGAGACGCTGCTGGGTTTATAGGCTCTGGAGTTTATACTGGGTGTAGGTTTACGGGCTGTAAGTTTGAATCCACAGTCTTAAACCCTGATTACACCCTCCAACACCTAAGCCTACATGACCGCAAGCACATGTAAGTGAGGTTACGAAAAAAGCACCCGCTATTCCCCCAAAAGTCCAAAGCACTCAATACTTGGTAGGTATGTCCGTAAATTGGTGGGTGGTGGATGCATCTGCAGGTAGGCAGGTAGGCAGGTAGGGATGCATGAGCAGATGGCTCGGGAGGAAGTTACATGTTGCGGCCTCAATAGTTAGAATAGGGTTAGGGGGGGCTCCTTGTTGATAAATATAATACAATGATGTATAATGTACCCCCCCCAAAAAAAAAAAACATATTCTACTGGTTAAGGCCCCTATGTTACATGTTGAAATCTTGGTTGCTTAGCTGCACATTTAGTCCTGGCAGCTGTCCGCCCGTGGTTTATCAAGGCTTTGAGTTCAGAGTTTGTGGATCAACTTTTCCGGCTGGACTCTCACCAAACTTTCTGATTCCTAGCAGTATAGTAGGTAACCTTTAGCCTTTTTGGGTAAGCATAGTCCCTATATAACCCCTATATAATCAAACAGGTTAAGCTTTAGTTCCCCATGATACCCGACAAGTAGGCCAAACTTTCTGATTTCGCATATATATATATATATGTGTATACTATACCTTGCCTACACCTGCCACCCCATGCACCAACAGGCGGTTGCGAAGCAAGTAATGCAAATTGCATTGCTCGTATCGCGGGAGAGAACTGTAAACCTCCTCGCTAAACTCTGCGATTGTAAGGATTTGAAGCAGACAAGTACATACAATCATACAGACTGGTGTGCAGGCAAGAAGAGTTTCATGCCGCCTAGACGGGCAGTCGACCGACCGACCTCAAAACGTAATCCCTCTACTTCGATTCCCGCAATACCACGCAGCAAGACTGCCAATCTGTTTGGGTTTAGCGCTTGTATTTCTTTAGTGCTGATTAGTCTGAAAATTTATCCTTGTGTCCGTAGGTACCGGTGCTAGTCTTGCAGCTGAGCCCATGGCACTTGGTGCTTCTGCCGTTCGCGGTGTCTCCGTGTCCCAACCACCCCTAAATCCCCCAAGAACTAGAACACTGAAGCTCTAAGCCGCAAGCGATTGAACCCCTAACCCCTAGACCCTGAAACACTGAAGCTCTTAACCGAAAGCGCTTGACCCAGGTGTCGATTCTCTGTGGCCAGGAGTATTTGTTTCCGCTCATTACGGAGCTTCCTTTGTTTGTGTTCTTCCTGCCTCTCGGAACCACAACTATTCGGTTTAGTGTTTAGGGTGCAGGGCTTAGGGTTTTTACAGTTTAGGGTGTCTTGGTTGGTATCCTTCATGCTTCTCGGAACGCCGAATCTTTGGTTTGGTTGAGTCTTAGGGTTTTTAGGGTTTCTTTGTTGGTGTTCTTCCTGCTTCTCGGAACTTAAAACCTATGCCCACCTATGTACGTACCCTTTCTTATCATGACCCTGAACCCTAGACCCTAAACCCTAAACCCCAACCCTGTGCTTTTATTGTGGTTCCCCTCATCCTTTCTTCTCCCTGAACTCATATCCAGCACATACCGGCCACCCGAGCTAGGGCTCAGGATTTAAAGGGTTAGGGCTTTTAGGCTTAGGGTTTAGGGCTCAGGGCTCAGGGTTGAAAGGGTTGGGGCTTTTAGGCTTTGGGGCTCAGGGTTTAGAGGCTTAGGGCTTTAAGGCTCCATGGCTTAAAGTTTGTTGCGATTCGGGTTCAGGACGTATTGGGTTTAGTGTGACTTAGGATGTAGGGCCCCTCTGAACTCGCAGCCGTGCTTGATGCTTTTGCTGGGGCCCCATGGGGTGTACTTTAGGGTTTAGGGTTAGGGAATAGCACCGCTACACAACGATTCTTGATATTGCATTGTATGCAGCATTTTCGACGTCTCTAGCGGACTTGGTACACATTTTGGAAGGGCTCTTAAATTATTCTTGTGCACTTCGGCATCCAGCGCTGTCTATATCCTGTTGTCTCTGGACTTGCGAGGTTTCGAAGCGAGTCTCTAAATGGCTCTATTTTATTGTATCCCTTGGGGTCCATGTGCCCAATTAGTATATACATTGGCCTTAACGTGGTCCCTACATGGGTACTTTGGGGCCAAAGTTTCTACTATTTGGGTACACGGACCTTTGGGTATTCTTGTCGGTGATGCCACCTGAACCCTAAACCCTAATTAATCCTAAACCCTTCTCACGGCCTCCGCTGTCGAAACCCTGGAAGCCCTGTAGCCGATGCCTTAAACGCTCAACGAAAAGACGGATCATTCTGAACCCCAAACCCCGATGCCCTAACAACCTACACTCTAAACTCTAAAGCACTAGACGCTGAACCCTATAAACCCTCAACCCTGAACCCCGCAGCCCCAAACACCGAAACTTCACGCCCCCAACCAAAGCAAACATAAATACCCTAAACCCTTCCCTAGCCTTCAAACCCAGAAGTTTCGAACAGGCCGATGCAGGGAACACTTAACACTTTTCGGGATAATAGGACGTAAAGGTGTACACTGTTGGGGGCTTAAGAACTCAGCAACTAAGAATAGGGAACTCCGGCAAAGTAGGTTCTTTCAGGGTTCAGGCTTCACCCCACACATCCGAAGGTTCTTCTTCTTTGGGCAGCATCTCTGTGGACAGCTGTGGGCCCCCAGCTTCTGGTTGGATAAGCTGCTCCTTGCCCAGGTTTGCAGCCATGTCAGACAGCTTTGCTTTGCATTTAAAGTATGTGTTTCCAAAGCTTTGCTTTGCATGTAAAGTATGTGTTTCCAAGTGGTTTTACGGTTTACCAGGGCTTTAAACTCTCACAATAAAAAGGGCTGCAAGGGCGTTAGGGTTTTCGGGATTTAGTGCTTACGACTGCTGTCCCCAAAAGCAGGGTTCTTCAGGTTGTATACTTGGAGGGTCGGGGGATTCAGAAAGTAGTCATTTTATCGAGTTATCAGTATCATAACCCCGATGAGGTACTTAGAAGTTTACTGTAAAACCGTCCCCGACTCTCCAAGATAATTAGGTTGGGTATAGGCTTTTCGTAGCCAAACCCTAAACCCTGAACCCTAAACCCTGAACCCTAAACCGTGAACCCTAGACCCTAAACCCTAAGCACTCACTCGGAAAGGCGAAGCACGCCTTTCAAAGTTTTTGGGTTTCTATGTAAAATTAGCTAACTGCCTTGGCTAGCGGCTACCTTAACCGCAAGTTCTTATTAGACACCCTCCTGAGTAGCTGAGTGGATACACCTTACACTTTTGGGGGATAATATCACCCACTATAAAATTAAAAGTAAGTGTACACTTTCGGGGGCTTCAGAACTCAGCAATTTTGGGGATAATATAAGCAACTATAAAACTAAAATTGTATACTTTGGGGGGGCTCAAGAACTCAGCAACTAAGCCTTATAAGAAATTTATAGGGAATCCTGCAGGGGTGCCCCGTGAAGTGAGGCCCCCTGCCAGGCCCCTCCGGCGAGAGGCGGCCTGCAAGAGAGAATGTAGGGGTACTTTGAAATAATTTGTAATTTTTGGTTATTATAATCCTCAAAAACAGCTAAAATATTATGTTTTGCGAGGGTTCTAAGTTCAGTATAGAGAATGTAGAGGGGTTTCGGGTTTAGGGTTTTAGGGTGTTGGGTTTTAGTGTTTAGGGCTTAGGGTTTCGGGGTTTAAGGTTTTAGGGTTTAGGGTTTTAGGGTTTAGGGTTTTAGGGTTTAGGGGTTAGGGTTTAGGGTTTTAGGGTTTAGGGGTTAGGGTTTAGGGTTTTAGGGGTTAGGGTTAAGGGTTTAGGGTTCGAGGATCATGAGACTAGGGTTTTCGGGTTTTGGGGTTTAGGAGGTTCATGAGGCTTGGTAACTAGGGTTATTTTTAGGGATAACTATGCTTATAGCTACTTATAACCACAACTTGGGTACTTATACTTAGTTCGTAAGTCCGGCGATCCTCCAAGTAGGGTTTTGGAGTAGAGTCCAGATATGTAGCTTCAGGCATATGATTACATAAGGCCTGGTGAGTCAGAAGTGTTGGTTTTGACGTGCTCTGTGCATTGCGTTCCGCAGACCCCAAAGTGCAACAGCAACCGTGGTTAAACAGTACATCTGCCAGTTTACCGTTGACTTTGGCATGCGACCACGTCGCAACTCTTTATCGTATCAATAAGGGTATTGACAACCCTAAAACGTGTATTTCGCCGTTTGAGAGGCCTGTGGCTAGTTGAGCATGTCCTAAGTTTAAGACAGGTGTTTCGGAAATTAAGTCGGACCATGAAGAACCCCCAACGCAGAACAGCCTTATTGCAACAAATCACGCCAACCGTACCAAACTCCAGCAACCAGGTCACTCCTGAAGCCCCTGCAAGGCGCAGAAATCCAGATATACTCTCAATCGCACACTGACCAGCACCCTCAACTCACACTCCAAATTTAAGCCGCCTAAACACCCTAAACACCCTAAACACCCTAAGTCCTAAACCCTAAATCCTAAGTCCTAAACCCTAAATCCTAAACCCTAAACCCTAAACCCTAAACCCTAAACCCTATACCCTAAACCCTAAACCCTAAACCCTAAACCAAGCCAGCTCAGGTGCATCCACCAGACGAAAGAGGAGTTGAAAGCGCAGCAGGAGGGAGTTTCGGAGGGGCTTCGGAATGCAGGGCCGAAGTCTACCCAGACACTCCAATATCCCTTAATTTAGGAATATACTTTAAGTTATAGTAGGATCCCTAATATGATTTAAGGTCTATTCCCTAATTAAGGGCCTAAGTCTACGTGGGTAGTTGTCAAAGTTATGGTCCCTTTTTGGGTCCCTAATATAGTACGGCACCTATTATTTAGGGTACCCCAAAAAGGGACCATAATTTTGACAACCACTCAAATGTCTGTTCATGTCTTTCTGTTTTAAGACTGTTTTAAGGATACTACCCTTGTTGTTCGCTTTGTGTTGGGTTCCTCCGCTGGGCAGACGAGTTGACGAGTGCCTCTACTTTCGCTGCCGGTGAGCAGAGCTTTGTTGCGTTTCTGGCTTTGGGCCCCCCAAAACGAAACCCTAAACCCTAAACCAAACGACGCCTTCTTGCTCTTAATGATGGAGCTTGAGGGTTGAGCCTTCAAGCCAATCATTAAGAGCAAGATGGCGGGTTCCATCGAGGGTTATTATTGGGCTTAGGGATTAGAGAGTTTAGAGTTTAGGGCCAGGTCTACGTATAGGGTTTGATGTTAAAGGCTTTCCCTGGTCTGTGGCGGCTTGAAATTTCTGTGTTGGTGTCTGGTTTGGGACTTCGAATGTGTTCAGGATTTGGAGTTGAGGCCCAGGATTTCAGGATCACGGGGAAGGGTTCAGTTGTCTAATCAAGGTTCCTCAGCTCAACTAGCGGTTTAAAGCGAGCAGCCCATGGGCCCGAAAGATAAACTCCAGATCTTCAACCCATAAACCCCAACCCCAACCCAACAGCTCTTCAAACCACCAAGACAAAGCATATAGACACGCACGCACACAGACACGCACACACACACACACACACACTAACTAAACATCAAAGCCCAAACCCTGCAGCCCGAGATCCTAAAGCACTTAACCCTCAAACCCCTAAACTGTAAACCCGAAAACCCCAAACCCAAGAAACCACACACAGACTAGAAATGACAGCATAAGCCCTTATACCCCTAAACCCTAAACCCCTAAGCCCTAAACCCTAAGCCCTAAACCTTAAATCCCTTAACCCTAAACCCTTAACCTTCCACCGCTTAACCTTAAACCCCTAAACCCTTAACCTTAAACCCCTAAACCCTTAACCCTAAACCCCGAGCTGGCAGGTGGCAGCGCTCCCCGTCTTCGTGGCCCGGTCGTCACGAATGCTGGTGCTCTGGGATGACACCTATTTCGAGAGGTCGGCCCAGAGCTTATAGTTTAGGGGTTTAGGGATGTTTGGGGTTTGGGTTTAGGGTTTAAGGGTGATAGTTTAGGGTTTAGGGGTTTAGGATTTGAGGGTTTCGAGAGGTCGGCCCTAGAGCTTATAGAGTCCAGTATCCCTAAACCCAAAAGAGAATCCCTAAAGCTTTCAGCCCTCTTCCCTCAACCCCAAGCTTCCCAAACCCTAAACCCCAAACCCTAAGCCCTAAACCCTAAGCCTTAAGACCTAATGACAAGAACTTCTCCACACCCAGCAAGCCTAGCTGGACTCTTTTTGGGGACATAGCAGGGCATCATAATAGGGAGTAGGGGTCGGTTGTTTCCCTAAGGGTCCATGTGCCCAAACAGGGTTCCTTCAAGGGCTCCTTTTAGGGGTGTTCTTTCAGGGTTTAGGGTGTAAGGGTCCATGTACCTAAATAGCATAATTAAACTTTGGCCCCAAAGTACCTGTATAGGGACTACTTTACCTATATATATATATATATATATATATATATATACACTACTTGGCCTTTTCATGGCTGCCATGGTCCCATAATGTCGAACAAGCCCCATTCCGATCATTTGGGGGTCTGCCTTCTGGCAAACAGGGCCCCCCCCGGTCCCGCACATCTACTTAAAGGATCATGGGACTTAGTAACTAGGGTTCCTTAAAGGGCTCCTTAAAAGGGATCCATAAGGGTTCTATAAGAGAGGGGTCTTAGGGTTACTTAAAGGATCATGGGACTTAGTAACTAGGGTTAGAATTAGGGTAACTATACTTATAACCCCAAGTAAGGTACTTATAACCCTACTTAGTAAGTCCCATGATCCTCCAAGTAGGGCTCGGGGGGGGGGGGTGTCAGATTGACGGCCCAAACCCCGGACTAGCCCTTCGGTTTCGGGCTTAGGTTTCGAGGCTGTTTTGGGCTTTAAGACGCTCTAGGGGTTCAGAGAATAGTAGAAGGTTGTCAATTCAATATGAGGTTTCCAGAAGATTCGTTCAGGGCTCTATAAGACGGCACAAGTGTTTCTATCAGTTTCCATGAGTACCAGGTTTCAGGGGCTTGAAGCGGTTTAGGGTTTAAGGTTTAAAAGCCTTCGGGGCCTGGGTTTCGCCCGCATCGTGCAGACAAAAAGAGGTTCCAGAACTCTTGAACATACCCTAGCTACGCCTCTAAGAGCTTGTTCAAGACATCCTAAAGCCTCAAAACTTGAACCCTGACTCGAGCTCTTATCATGAAACCCCAAAACCAACATCGCTGATCGGAACAACGAAGCCAAACTTAAGTAGTCGGAGCAATTCCTACTAGTATCTCTTCATTGTAGCTTCCCTTCGTGCCTATCCTTCAAAACACCCCCAAGAGCTCTAACTCTGATTACCAAGTTCCCTATGCTACTCCCTCCTAAACCCTGCACTCTGAACCCTAAGCCCGACGCCCCGGCCTTACAGCCCCTCACCCACAAGTTGGAGGCTCTGGTGCAACATGGAGATGGCGACTTTTGCGAAGTATTCCGAGAGCCCAGGGAAGATGGAGTTCCTTCCCTTGTGGCTGGCGCCTTAGTGTTGCCGCGCTGCCGTTTTAAAGCAGGGTCTAGGGTTCAGGATTTAGGGCTCGCATCGGTTTGGTGCTAGGTGGATTCGATAGTTAAGTGGCTAGGACCTAGAGTAGGCCCTTATTCCCTTTCTAAGGGTTCAGGTTCCCTTATAAGCCCCTTTAAACCAAAAAGGGCATCCTTTTTCCTCCTAGGTTACTCTTGGGTCTAGGTGGGATGTTGAACAGAGCACCGAGGCTGGCGCCCTGGCTGCTCTCCTCAATGCTGCTGGATCTGCTGGGCGTGACCCTCCTTCGAGTATGCGAGACCTTTCTCCAGTCGGAAGAGAATGTCAAACACGCGATCAAGTATGCTGAGATGATCTTTGGTGAGACCCACGAAGTTAATGTCTTCTTCCACAGTTTTCTGGAGGTGGTTCCCAACTTCCTGTGTCTTAGATAGCCAATGGGTAGACTTTAAACTTGTCGGTTTTTATATCTTTGGTCTATCTTGGAAAGTTGTCACTTTTTTGGGCCTGGTTGTTGAATCGAAGAGGTGTTATCTTCCGGTCGCATTGCCTACGATGCTTTCCTTCCGAAGCTTGGCTACGGATTTCCCGGAAGCGTCGGGCTTTACACTTAACCAGTTTTTAGAGTTTAGGGTTCAGAAGTAAAACTCTAATGGCTTTTTTGCATGTGTGCAGCAAGGCCTGCTGGAACGGTACAACATGTCTTTAACTTAGCTGTGCACCAGAAATCTAAGCCCCATATCTAAAACTCTAAACCCTAAACTCCATATCCTAACCCAGAACCCAGGGAGCAAGATCCAAGCACACGAGCTGATGCTGGAGCAGATGGCAAAGTTTGAGCTTCGAAATGCTAAGTGCTCTGTGGAAGCCGACCGGCCACTGGTGGAAGAACAGGTGGGGGGGCTTGAGAGGTTGCAGGGTTCGCTGGTGGAAGAACAGGTAGGGGGGGTTTAACCCGCACCACACCCAACCCAACCCTTTAGGTTGGGATTGAGGCCGGTTACAGAGGTACGTAGAGCCTAGGGTTCCCGTGGATGATATATAAGCCTGTTTTTAAAAGCTCTTCGTCGAAATCTGATATAACCGACGGAATGCATGCCGACCTATGCTGCGACTTCACACCAGCTGCCGAAGCCTTGCTCAAACCACTGATTAGTCTAATCTCCTTGCTTGGTGGGCCTTGAATCAGCATCCGTAAACAATGCGAAAGCCCCTGAATCCCCGAACCCCTACCCTAACACCCAAGAAACCTACAATTTCAGGGCTCCCATCATCATTTGCCTGTATTAGATCCCTAAAAAGGTAGTTTTTCGGGGTCCTGGTAAACCCGAATCCCTTTAAGTAACTATCCTAGGATGCCCAGTAGTACCCTTATTCCTTTTTGCAGTCCCAGGTTCCTTATAAAGTTACCCAATACTAAAAAGAGAGGCCTTTTTATTCTTAGGTTACTGGGTATCCTAGATCCCTAAAAAGTTGTTTTTGGGGTCCTGGTAAACCCGAATCCCTGTAAGCAACTATCGAAGTCTTCCCAGGTGGCCTTGCACTTCCAGCCAGATCTGGACACAGAAGTCATCTCGATTTCCCCATGGTATCATTTTACTTGGGGGTCAAATTTACTCGCTTGAATATACACGTAACTACTCGTATGTACTAGTTCCTTGGGGTTCCTAAGTGTAAGTATCGTATAATATGCCCCGTACAAGCCATTATACAAGTGTTAATGCATCTATGTTCGGCTTCATATAGCAGTCTTTTTTGGCTCGCACTTGCACAGTTCCCCAGACCCTACACACCTTTCTAGGTCTCCCATTAGTACGTTTGGCCCTTTTGCTGTGGATCCTCTTATTAAGACCGAGCAGCAGGACAATACCCTAAACCCTGCTCTAGGCCTCCCAGTAGTACCCTTTTGTCAGTTTCGTTTTGGGTCTCCTCGCTACACCAAAAAGCAGGAAAAGGGGAACCATTAACATAAAGGGGCTACCAGGAGAACCATTTTTTTTCTTCATGGGCAAGCGGGGGACTGTAAGGTCATTGTTGCCGGCAGCTCTGTGAACGCTGAGCAGCTGAGATCTTCAAGTACGAACGGTTCTAGGGTTTGGGGGGCGTCAACTTTCTTCAACTGTTATGGTTAGTGGACATGGAGTTTTGCAGTGCGTTATGGGGATTGGGTGTCCGGGTTTACGGTTTAGGGCGGCAGTTGAGGGCTAACTACTGCTGTGGCATCGTCTTTCTTCATTCTTCTGACATCTTAAACCTTCGATTCGAGTTGCCTGGATATATTGAACCCGATGCCGATGGCTCCATGTACCTATATAGTACTGAAAGGGGTTCCTGCGGTTCCTATCTAGCTATTTCACGGCCTAAGTATATACGGTATAAGTACATGGAGCCTGCGGGGAAGTAAGGCAAGAAAAGGAGCCGGATGCCTTACGAGCAGAGTCGCTGGAAAGGTTCAACAACTACGTGCAAGGTCCCCTTCGTGCTGCTGTTTTGGACTGCATTGGAGACACGCATGATGTGCCCTTATACTTGTGCTATTTGTGCTTCCTGCCCATGACTACCTACAATGCCGTCACGGTCTCTCCCGTAGCATTCCGGGAATGCTTCGCATCGGCAACGACCTTTGGTTTCTCTAACCGACTGGACATGTGTATGTGCTTTGGACTAGCATTTGTCTTGGCGCAGCTTCTCGCATACCCGGTGACATTTCCAGTCTTGCTCCATCTCCTCCACAAGGTGGAGAAGGTGAGTGAAGTGTTCTCAATTAAGCTGCTGCTCGGGGTGTTTGCAAGCTGTTTCGCCTATGCGTACTCTTTCTTCTGTGCCGGGGTCATCTGGGGTGCCACCTTCGTCGTCTGGCAGAGGCGGGCCAAAGCATGCGAACCCGATAATCCCAAAGGCTCCATGTACCCACATAGTCGATACGTAGGCCTTAAAGTACCTACAGAGGGACCCCTTTAAGGCTTAAGTATCTACCATAAAGGTACATGGAGCCTTTGGGAATTAAGCCCCAACGGACCGCGCCAAGAAGCGGGTTGGAACGTGGAGCTTTTGTAGGGAGCGCCTCCCCTGCTAATATAGCTGCCTGAATAATTCCCATCGGGTATTGGTGCATTCCATAAACCGAAAAAGCAAAAAGCAAAAACACAGCCGCCCAAAATTCGCTCAAGACTTAACAAAACTGCGGACCCAAACCCTACACAACTTCTATAAACCCCTCAACCCGAAACCCTACACCCTACACCCTTGCATCTCTAGACTCTTGCAGGTTCACGCCTGGTCGGTTGGCTGCGTACCTACTCGTCAACGTTTTCCTTGCGCTGCAACTCTGGCTCCCGCGCCCTTGAATATGGGGCTTATATGATTTCGGGTGCGGGGTTTGTAGAGTTGGGGTGTGGGGTGTATCACACATGAACAACATAGTGGCTGCCGTCTTTCACTCTTTGTCTGACCAACCCCTAAGCCTTCAACCCTGATCCCTAAACCTTTGAGTTCAGATTCGAGGTTTCAGGCTTCGGGGTTTTGGGCTTGGGGAGGGTAGGTTTTCGGGTTAAGTTACAGCCCAAACTTCAACATTTAGGGTTTAAGGGTTCCGGGATTCGGGGATTGTAAAGAAAAGTGCAAAAAAAAGCTCGGAATCCAAAACACCACATCCTAAGCTCCAAGCCCTAAAACCTTAAACCCTCAACCTTACTAAACCCTAAACCCTACTAAACCCTACTAAACCCTACTAAACCCCACTAAACCCTACTAAACCCTACTATCTCTACACCTTATTTCCGAAGCCGAAGCCTGGCAGAGGTTTTTCTTCGGACGCCGGCGGCCAAGAGCCTTCGGGAGCTGCAGGTGTGTGGAGTACAAAGGCGGGCGAAGGTTTAGGGGTCCAGGTTTAGGGTTTAGGGTTTGGGGTTTAGGGTTTAGGGTTTAGGGTTTAGGGTTTAGGGTTTAGGGTTTGGGGTTTAGGGTTTAGGGCTTAGTGGTCCAGGTTCAAGGTTTGGGGTTCTGGGTTCAGGGTCTAGGGATCAGGGTTGAAAACTTCAGGGTCACATTGCGCAACCAAGGTGGTCACAGCGAGTGCAGGACTACTCTTCGGACTGTCTCTCTTTCTCTCTCTCTCTCTCTCTCTTCTCTCTCTCTCTCTCTCTCTCTCTCTCTCTCTCTCTCTCTCTCTCTCTCTCACTCTCTCCGTGTGCCTCTGTTTTGCGCCCTCCTTCTACCTCCCTTCCTCGCTCGCATGCTCTCTCTCTCTCTCTCTCTCTCTCTCTCTCTCTCTCTCGCGCTCTAACATACCTACATACATACAAAGATACATACATATGTATACACAGGCATACACACAGGTCTACATGTCTATCTTTCTGCCTAGCTTCCTGTCTTCTATCTTTCCACTACATATGTATGTATATATATATATGTACATAATGTGACCTGTTGGTTTGTGCGATTCCTTCATACCATAGTCAAGGATTATCTGAAGGAAATACAGAATCAAATTTAGTAGAGACTTACATCCAGAATAGTATACCTTGTAGAAGACCTCCCATAGAGACCCAATAGAATACGGTACCTTTACAATCCTTTCTGGAACAACCAAAGGAATGTAAGAATACCTTCTAGGTTAATTACCTGTACCTCGATCCCACCATGTATCCTATATGTACCTGGTAGAATTCCGAATACCTTGCAGAAGAACCCCTGCATCTGAACAGATACATGATGCCCATTCTCGACGCGCCGACCCCGCAGCCCCTTCCGCCCCTGCCCCCACGCCCTCCCAAAGGCTCCATGTACCCATATAGTAGGTACTTAGGCCTTAAAGGAGTCCCTATATAGGTACTTTAGGGCCGAAGTACCTACTATACCTTAACCCCACGTAACCTACCTTTTTAAGGACTTATAATTATACAAAGAAATCATATTAGGGAACCCGAAAAGGCCAGGTTCCTTAGGGTCCAGGTATGGGTACATGGAACCTTTGGGCCTGTAACACACGCATGGCGACTCTAAGGTCCAAAACCGTCAACTGTCACGAGGGAGTTTCCGAAAATTAGGGGTGCCGTATTTTGGAGTCCTTATAATAAGGATCCTATTATTTAGGGTACCATATGAGGGTCCCCTATTTTTGGAAACTGTCACGAGGATCTCGTCCCAAACACACCAGATGCTTGTGACAATGACAACTTTTCAACCACGACTCCGACGTGAAGGTATTAAGCATGCAACTGTCATGAGGATCGAGTTCCTGACAGGCCCGGTTCCTGTGACAGTTGACCCGAGAAAGGAACAGGATGATGATCATGATCATGAACTCAGCATCCTCATCATGATCCTGACACCAACGCCCCCCCAAGATCGTGGCCCGCAAAACATACCCTGAATCATACCTGGTTCATACACGATTCATGACCCTTCGGAGAAATGGTGCTATCAAGCCGCCCCCGCTACGGATTTGCAATGGATAACCCGGCAAATGCAGCGGTTGGATAACACCAAATTTTCTGAAAGGAAACCTTCAGAAATTCGGAAAGTGCAACGATTCGATAGCACCAAATTTTGCAAAGCAGCGCCCTTCGGAAAATTTAGTGCTATCGAACCGCCCCTGTTTGTTGGCCGTACTTGCAATGTATAGCACAGCGAAGCAGCGGTTCGACAGCACCGAATTTTCTGAAACGACACCCTTCGTAAAATTTGGTGCAATCGAACCGGTCGTCGCTGTCCTTTGATTCTGAAAATGCAGCGGTTCGATAGCACCAAATTCTCTGAAACGACACCCTGCGGAAATTCTGGTGCTAGCGAACCTTTCTTCGCTGTCCTTATTTTTCTGCAAACGCACTGAGTCTTCTGACAAAATGCCTTTCGCAAATTTTGGTGCTATCGGACCACCGCGCGTCGCTGTCGTCATCTTCCGAGATTGCAGCGGTTCGGTAGCACCAAATTTTGCAAAACGAGCCCTTCGGAAAATTTGGTGCTAATCGAGCCGCCTTCGCGGTCCTGGTTTTCTGAGAATGCAGCAGTTCGACAAAGGCCCAAAACCTTTAAACTTGTTGAAGTTGTTTGGGATTCTGAAGGCCCAAAACCTTCAAAACTGTTGAAACTTCTGCCGGCCCGATTTTTTTGCAACTTACGAAGATTTCAAAGGTTTGGAAGATAATTCAAGCTGCGACGGCCTTTTAAACATGCAACACTTGTGAAACCGCTAAGAACGTTTAATGTTTCTGCAGGCCAACTTTTCAAACTTCTGCAGGCCCAGACCTTTTTGAGACCTTTTTAAAACACTCCAAAGCGTTTAATTAAAACTCGCGAGACTTGTAAAACTTTCACTGTGTTTTTAAGGCTTCTGAGTTTTAAATAAACCGAAACTTGACATTTTAGAACTTTTAAAGCAACTGGAAATTTCATTACTTTTAAAGCCCTTGAACCCTTTAAGGTGTTTGCAATGATTCAAGTTTGTAAGCTTTTGAAATTTTACAAGTCTCAAACTGCCAAAAAAATGCAAGTATGGAAAGTTGTAGAAGTTCTAGGCCTTCAGAAGTTGAGAAAAATTCAATTTTCAATCGTTTTAAAGTTCTAAACGTTCAATAGATAGACCAAACATTCTCAGTCACCAGAACTTTCAATACTTTCAACCAATAAAAACTCTTAAAGGTTTAATCAGGTAAACAGTAAGGAATACGAATAAAATGAAGAGCCCGGAATAGTGGATAAGGAATACGGAACGGCACAAGGCCAAGGGCCAAACAATACATGAAGGGTTGGTTCTCTTACATACATATATAGATATTGCGAGAAACATGAAGTTTATGGACATAGACATATATATATATATATGTGGCATGGACCTTTAGGGTCTATTTGGCAATCCTGCTGGGCTTTGTATTTTTTTCTGCAACAACACCACGGCGACAAGGACGACGACGACTCGGTTTAGCACGACGACGACTGGGTTCAGCACGGCGACGACAAGGTCTGGCACGACGGTTACATCGGGAGGCCGAAGCGTGTACAGTGTAAAGGTCTCGACAGGAGTTTAAGGGTCTAAGGTCTTAGCTCCTAACTATGGTCTATGGAAGATCTAAGGTTTGGAGTTTATGAGGATTTAGATGGTTTTACGCTCTCACAACTCGGACATGCCAGGCGACGTTCTCCGTGCTGGTTTTAGGGTCTATCACAATGTCCTCCCGTCCCTCTCGCGCCGGGAACCATCAAGAATCTGTCTTGTGTATCACTCGTCCTGTTTCTTTCTCTCATTCCCGTTCCTCTTCCTGCCTATCCACTCTGCCTTTTGTCAGGAACAAATGACCCCCCGTTCCTCTTCCTGCCTATCCACTCTGCCGTTTGTCAAGAAGACACAGAAATTGAGGTCATGACAGAGGAATAGGCATGAAGATGGACGAAGTGAACTCTTCATTCTCTCATCTCTCCTTCTCTCCTTCCTTTGATTGATCCTTTTTCTGTTTCTTTTCTTCTCGCCTTCTGCTTTCAATGACAGGGGTAACACGAGGGAGGGGCAAAGGGACGACGTCAGTTCCTCTCGACGTGGTTCCTTTTTTCATTTCCTCTCGCGTTGTCTCTCTTCCGCATCTCTCTCTCTCTCTCTCTCTCTTTTTCTCGCTCTCGCTGTCTTCCTCTCTGCCGTGTCTCGCTCTCTCATCTCTTCTGTCCCCTCTTTCCTTGGTTCCTTGCTGGAAGGAATAGAAAACAGAAGCGAAGACATAAGATGGAGGAAGATGTTTGGGAGAAGGAAGGTGGATTCCTCCCTCACTCGGCTCTTTGACTTTCTTTGCCCTTGCCCTCTCTTCTCGGCTCCTAGCCTTCTTCACAATTAGAAGGAGAAGCGACAAGAACGGAGAGCTAAGGGAGAGCAAGTGACACGTTCCTCATAATCTCCTCCTTCCTCGTGTTCGTTGTGTTGTCCATCTCCCCCTCGCTCGCTCTCTCTCTCTCTCTCTCTCTCTCTCTCT